AAAAGAAAAGAAAAGAAAAGAAAAGAAAAGAAAAGAAAAGAAAAGAAAAGAAAAGAAAAGAAAAGAAAAGAAAGATATCTAAAGAAGCAACTTCCGATCTTCTTTGCAGCAGTTACGAACATAGTAATTACCATCTTCACCCTCCCAAACTGCATATCCTGGCTCTCTTCTTCCCATAAACAAACCTTTTTTAATCAGTAAATCCCAAAATCACCAATTCATTTTTATCCATTTTCAGCAAAAAGGGTTTCCAGTCTTACATAAAAGTAATTGTTGTTCCCTCCTTAATCAAACAGGTCAATTTAGCCATTTCTGCTAGCTCTGCCACCTTCACAATCCATTGTTCCATTATGGGTATCTCTGTATTCTTCCATCTTTGAGTTAGCAGTTTATTTCTTACAGCTCAGGGTAGATGTAGCACCCCCCCACCCCCCAGCCCCATCCTAAGCCATGACTTCCTTTTCCTTTCCAACCCCAAGCATGATTCCAAATCTGCTTTTCTGACTTTTTCTTCATTGGCCATGTGCTTTATGTTGCAGGATTACTTGTGATCCAGCAATATTCTGCCCTATCGTGCTCCTGTCTTGATTGATTCCTATTGTAGTCAGAAAGATGGGACTTCTGACGCCAGCCATGTTATCTCTGTGGTTCAGAGGACCTGCACAACGAAAGGGCTCCTCCTGGCAGCCTTGCCTTGCCCTGCCATTCATCTCCTGGGCTGAGAGGCCTCCAACAACAGCTGGAAATGGATGGTGGGCAAGACAAAAGGGATTCACACAGTTGTTTTGGCACACAAAACAATCTTGGGGACGCAGCTCTGCCCTCCTCTCTCCTGAGTGAGGATGGTGTCCTCTTCCCATCTGATACCATTGGCCAATTCACGCAGCCTTCCTTTCCAGAGCAGATGAAAGGTCAGGGTATGTCTACCTGCTGTTTCTTCTCGATAATTAATCCCTAATGGAGTTTCCCCCACCTCCTCGCAATCCACCAGGAAAGACTAAGCAGAAAAAACTCCTCATTTAGAGCAGCTATGATTTGAGAGTTCTTGAGAGAGGGATGGTCTCCACTTATGCCTAGTAATAATCCTAGTAATAATAATGAGGAGCACCCCACAGTCCAATCATCTTGGGTTGTTTCCTCCAAGAGGTATGAAATGAAAAGGGACTAGTGCTGAGATGTTCAATGAAATGAAGCAAGCTTTGCTGGTCTTGTTGGTTGGGGAAGAAGGGGGTTGTAGGGCAAAACTTCAGGAGGGGTGTGAACTTTGCCCAATTCTGTGATGAAACCTTCTTAAAAAGGGCCCTGGTGTTTGAGTCCAATCCCCATTCAGAAAAACACAGTAACTGACAAGGTCATGCGGATGGTGTCGAACTCAAGGAAAAAAGATTGTCTTTACTTTTGACCAATGTGGACCCTGCACCGTATTCTGTGGATTTTAGATTTGGAAGTAGCCAATCTGGTGAATATTTCTACCCTCCACTATTTGTCAGAGTAATTATTACTTTGTTTCCCTTCCTGGCATTCACCTTGGTTTCACATTATATATGCACTGACTGCCAACCTAGCCAATGGGTGCCAAGTTCTCCTTAACTATATTTTGGTGAACCACTTTCAACCATAGTCATATCCTCAGTTTTACAATGAAGCCATTGGGATGAAGGTCAAGTGGAAACCTGGTTAATTCACCAAAAGTAGGATACTGATTGCAGGAGTGGAAAAAACTAGGGCACCAGGATCCTGGTTTGTGAAGATGGTCATGCCCTCACTAGGTGTGATGGACTACGGTAATGCAGCAGGTTCTCAGGAAGGAGGGATCACATTCAAGGAAGGTGGGCAAGACAAGAGACACCACAGTCTGGAGCTGGTTCGTGGGAAGAGGAAGAGAATTAGTATAGACACTGTCTAGAATCTCCCAGGGTTTATCCATTAAGGTAGAGTAATACAGATTTAGTCTGGCAAGATTCTGTCTACATGGTGTAAGCAATAAAAGAACTGAAGTTGGCTGGACTGTTTCTCTGTTGTTCTTGGGCTGGGCCTGACACTAGGCCTACATAATGAGCAGCAACACTAGAACATTTTGTATGATTCCTTTGGTGCCAATTCAACATTTCCTACAGCTCTCTTCTCTTCCTCTCCCTCAACTTCTCTATGTTGTCTGGAAGCCCAGAAAAGGGAACTATGGCGATATTTCATGCCGATTTTCTTAAAGTATTTATCAAGGGCCACGAAGCTGGATTCTGCTGTTGCTTTAAGCTATTGTGTCTTTTTGAAATTTGTCATGGTTATGGGCTGTATTTTTGTCATCTTTACTTATGTACTTTCTTGGTAAGCCTCCCTCTGTGCTTTGTCTGGTGACGGATGATGACAAAAAACAGCTCGCTGGGAAAAAATACTGCTAGACTAAACTGCTATGGGTGGGGGGTGCTTCAGTGTGTTCTGGGCATCCAGCCACTATTTTGGCATGTTGGATAAACCAGGCCATCATATTAAGCCAAAATAGGGCTGTTTGCTTGAGCATCGCATGCTATATGGACCCAGCTGTTGAGTTTCAGATTTAGCATGTTTTGTGAATGCAGCCACATACTGGGATACCCCAGAATCATGAAAATAAATACGGGGATGCAAAGGGTGGGGTCCACCATCCAAGGTTTAACTGCTTCATTAAGGCTGGGTGGGGACATTAGAGGAAGCCACCGTAAGTTGGTCTGGCTCTGAGTCTCTCTGTCTTCTCCTGTCCCTCCCTCCTTGGTCTAGGCTGCTTGGCGCCTCTACTCCACGGACGTCAACCGCTCCTACCTGACTGCTACCTGGTGTTACTACGACAGCATCCTTCCATCTTTTAGGTATGTGTGCAGTTACCTTAAGGTTTTGGAGGGATGGCAGTTGTAGCTGGGGGCAGGTGCTCCTTGGAATTCATGGCCAAGGAAGTGGAAAGGGCAAGTTGAAGGGAATTGCAGAGCAGATGGACTGAAGTAGGGAAAATATGTCAGGGAGAGGCAAACGTGTGAGAGTAATTAGGTAGGGCTAAATATGCCCCTTCTGCCTACTCTGGTTGCTGCTATTTTGGGGTCAGCATTTGCAGGGAGATGCATGAGTCACTTTCTGGGAGAGTACGGCAGAGAAATTAATGGGGATTGCGTGGTGGCCTTGGCGCCCTGGCATCTCTCCCACGGTAGATTGTGAATACTCAGTGCCTGATCTTGTGTTGGCTCAAGGTGAGTGTCAGGCCTTTATCCTCTGCTCACAACCCAGAAAGCAGGATCCTCTCAAAGTCTCATTAACTAGATTTATTGAAAGGAAAAAGGGGTTAGGTCACAATATCTTGGAAACTGGACGCGTGTGTACTTCTGCTTCTTTGCTCCCTTCGATCTTCTTTCTAACTACCTTTCCATGTTGTCTCCTGCTTGCCAGACAGAGAAGGAACATGCTTTTGTTTTAGGCTTGCAAATGGCCATTCCTGCTCCCAGGCAGACAGAGAATTCCTTCACAACGAGCTCCTTGGATCAATCAGTCTTGTCCAATCCAGCGACAGCCACTTGCTTTGGCTGGCTGGGGATGATGTTTTAATCCCATCCATCCAGAGAAGGTGGCAGATTAATTATGTATCATTTGCAGAACCGTAATTGGCCCTGGTGAAAGGATGAGTAGCCACAGCATAAAAAATGTTGCAGTATGGTAAAGTACCATTCAATTCACTTCCCATGCAATTTTCCAGGGCGTTAAATTATAGCCCAGTCACCATAGCCAAATTGATTTTGAGAAAAATCTCAACATGCAGCCAGAAATGATGGCATATTTTGGTGGTGATTTTGGAGATTCCTTGTTCCTCTGCATTTATTATCACAGACAGGGTGTCCATGGTGGGGGGGGGGGGTAAAAAAAATCAAGATAGCAGTCACAACTATACAGTTGAAGCGCCACTCCTTTTTACATGCATCATGGGGTGGGGCTTTAATTACATGGCCCTAGCTGCCATCTGGATATTTTTAACCCCCCACCCCCTCATGGACACTCCTGGTTGCAGATTTCTCTGGTCTGGTCCATCCAGGTGTGCCACATCTCCCCAAATTTCCAGTGATTTAGGCTGTTGGTTATATTGGTTGGGGAGTCACTTTCAGTCCACCTGAAAGACACCAGCTTGGGGAAAGCCACGCTGGTCAAATGCCCATCCTTGGGGGAAGCTAGAACTTTTTCTCCCCTCCCACAGGGCAAACGTGAATGGCCACACTGCAACTCGCACAGGAAGGAAAGGCAAGGAATAATTTGAGGATATGGCTAGGCAAAGACCATATTTTGCTGTCGTCTACCCATTTGAGGCTGATGCTTCGTAGACCCTTTCTAATGGGCCTTTGAACATGTTTGCTGGGTTTTGAATGTTCCGATTCCATGCCCTCTTCATAAGGCGTCATAATTCCATCCACATCCTTCATAACATGTGATGTTTCCTCCCTATTCAAACTGGGCTCCAAGATCTTCTAGGTGGTGGAAGCTGCAATGGAGACTGATGGAGAGGTATGAGGGTGGGAATAGGGCTGTTAAGGGGGGAATAATTCTGGCCCTTCTCATGCATGCAGACATGTGTGGGGATATGGACAGACACATGCAGCGCAAAGTGTTATTCAGCATAAATTGTTCACTCAAAAGGCCGCTCTCTTGCAAGACTGTCACTTTGGCCAGTTTTTCAGTCTCAAGCAGAGGCCTGTGGCAGCCCGTGGGGATTTCTGCATCTTATTTTTCTATATGTCTATCCCACTTTTCTAATGTTTAATACGCAAGGTGGCTTTCAGTTGTGCTCAAAACAGAACAAGGTGAAAATACAAAGGAGATAAATTCTGTGAATTAAATTCTGTGGCCATCTTAAAAAACCAAAGTAAAACAAAACGAAAGACCAAACAGGAGAAGCAGCACAAAACAACTATTAAAAATGCTTCGGGGGGAAAGTGGAGGTTTTAGTTCATCTGAAAGCAACTAGCAGAGGGGCTAAGCGGGCATACTTTGGGAATTTCTACCAGACCTTGAGGACCACCGTAAACATTTTCTTTGGTCAGAGGCATCTGTGGGGAGTGCTAAAATCTGCAAAATGGCAGAAGCAGCATCACAATTGAGCATGATACGTGCATGTATAAAAGAGGTGGGGTTTCATTAGTGACACCACCCCCACCATCTTGCAGATTTTGACACTCCTCCCATGGTCATCCTTGTCTTAGAAGTTGTGTTTAGTGGGGAATTGGCTCAGCACCACCAAGACAGCACTAGTTGACCCTGAGAACATTTATGTGCACAAGGCTGTCCTCATCAACTGAACAGCAAAATCATGTCCCTCCCAAAAGATGGGGCTTCAACCCCACTCACGGTTCATTCCTATCAGAATTGGAACCCAGAATTACTTATACCCATAGTTGTGTCCCTTATGTAATAAGCGGAAGCCTGCATTTGTAGGGCAGCAGTGTCCACCAGGGGTGGGGTGGGGAGATAAAAAATGTCAAGATGACAATGGCATGTAAAAAGGGGTGTGGCTTCAATCCTGCAGGCATGATTGAGATCTTGACATTTGGTCCTCCTCCGAGACCAGGAAGAAGTGATAGGAAGGAGGATGGAAGGGGGCGAAAAGCAAGTTTGAAGAAATGTAATAACAAGGACTAAATAGTGATGAGTTTCTATAGCTCATAATGGGCCACTTATGGCGGACTCTCCTTCCCATGGGCCCTTTTAATAGCCAAGGAAGCCAGGAAGATGACACCCTTGATTCACTTCCATGCACTACTGGTATGAGTTACAGATTGCATCAGCCTGTTGTGGGCTTCATTCTAATAAGAAGATTTACAGTGGCTTTATTATCATTAGAGATGAGCATTGGTGATTATTAGAGATGAGCATTAGTGATCATTAGAGATGAGCACCTTCCCCTGGTGAGGACAGATGGTTTAAAAGAAGAATCAGGATTCAGGAAGCATGTGCTGTCATCTCACTTTTTTCTCTGTTTCAAAATATTTGACATTTTGGTGGAGGGGGCGGGTGATATTTCAACACCCCTTGGAACTTAGATGAAACTTTTTAAAAATATATGACCCCAAATCTCTGTGCCCCAAGGTCCTTTTGTATGAATATAACATGAGACTGGCTTGGAGGCCACATTGTGAAGCTGTTTGAACTGCAGACTCACTCAGTGCAGAATGCAAATTATGGTGGATTTGACCAAATTCATTAGAAAACATAATAACTTTTCTGGAAGGCTACAGCTTCTGCTCTAAGGAGAATGAACAGATTATGTAAAACCTGCCCCCTTTACCGGTGGCTGGTATTGCCTAAATGGAAGCCCACTCCTCCTTCCAAAGATTAACAGTGTGGTCATGGAGAAGAAACCCCATCTTCTCACATTCAGTGGTTTGATCATGATATTGCACTCCATCTTTCTGTTATTTATTTATTCCCACCCCCACCCACCCCCATATGTAGGAAAGTTCAGATCATCTGGCCATGGAGAAGGAGACCTATTCCCTTCCTTCATGGACAAACCACTGATCTGGAGGAGTGATGTTTGAGGAATGAACTATGATCTCCACCCCAGTCTCACTGGTCCAAATGGGAGGTGTTATAGTTTGGAGGTTCTTTGTGTCTTCTGTAGAGAGACATTCTTCTAAAAGAGGAAGACCCTCCTAGCTTTGCTTCAAGTTACTTTATACCTGGCCCATTAATGCAGATAATTTTAGAGCCTAACAGTAATGCTGTGAAGGTCCATATTAGCAACTTACCTCCTATGGGCCAAGGTCTTGACCTTTATAGGCAAAGACCACTATCTCCCAACTGGATCCACATGGGATTCTTAGAAGATCACTCTTTGGTGTCCCTTATATATTCAAGGCGTATTGGCTGTCCTTTATTCTCTGACTCTGACTCCTAAATCCAGATTCTGCTTGGCCATGGAGGAAGAGTTGAAGGGGGCCTTATTAGCCCTCTTATTGGCATTGGGTGTAGGGAATCTAGAGCTGGCAGAACAGCCCAGCAGTCCACCTTCTACTTGAAAACCTCCAATGAGGAAGAATCTACAGTTCCTCTATCTGAGTAGTTCCACATCAAGCTGCTGTTATTTTCCAAACAAAAGTCCAATATGGAAGCCTGGCTAGCACTAGGTTTTCATGCCTTTGTCATGCTCCTTCCTTTTGCAAACACTTCTGGACTAATTTCAGTTGCCACCTATGCTTGCTTGTCCTTGGGGTATGTATATGGAGTAAGTTTCATACCATCTTGAATTAAATAGCTGTTGGGAACACCCTCTGGGATTAACAACCCAACAGGATGAAATGGGGCATTCTTTAGCATTGAGGATTGAACATCTCAGTGGTAGGATTCAACGGTTGGTTCTGTTGCTGCAAAAGGTTTTGAATGAAATGTTCTATAAATTTGAAGAACTTCTGATTTGCAGGTTGGATTCCACTCAGGATGAAATTATGATAATTCATGACAACATTTTGACCTGTCCTCCCAAAACTGGAAGACATAAATTTGTGTTCCTACAACACCCATAACCAAATTACTTACAAATAAATTTGGCTTCATTTGCTAAACTGAGACAGTTTTAACATTCATATTTTGGGGCTTAGTGAGTTTTATGAATATAAGCCGTTTGGCTGAGATATAGTTCCAAGTATTTCACAAACCAGGAAATGAATTAGTTCAGGAGTTAGACTAAACATGTTGTGTGAGCAAACCCAACAGTCATGCACCCTAATTCTATAACCAACATCAATCAACTTAGTCCACCCAGATAAGCCAATTGAGAAAACCAAACCATTAGGTGATTCCTATTCTTATCTCCTATGGAGAAAAACAAGAGTCTCCTGATAACCATAAAGAATTTATGGGCAATGGTCCACAAATGTGTTTGTCCTGATTTTGTTAAATTCCTGCTAGGTTTTTCATTGCTTCTCTTTCCTGTTTTTTCTTTTTTCTTTGAAATCCCCCTCTATTTCAAGACTTCTCCTTGACATTGTTCCACTTTTTTGCTTGCTTGCTTGTTTTTTTTCCCCTTCCTCTCCCATCTGAAAGCTTTTAATTTCTCCATGTTTTTATTTGAACCCATCCCTAGAGAACTGGTCCTTATGTTTGACCACTTGCACCGAGCTCGCAACGGAGGGCTTAGGATCTCTGAGGTGAGGAAATTCCCTGATGGAGCTCCACCGTCGTATCACTCCTTCACCTCTGGCCTGAAATCCTCCAGTCCTTCTTTTTGCACAGGAGAAAGGTAGGGTTGATGCCACCTCCTTGCACGTTTTCGTGCCCCTGGTGTGTCTCATGCCCTTCTCTCTTTCTCTTTCTCTCTGGTGTGTGGACTCTGTCTTGTGCTGCTGCTCCCTCCTGGTTTTACTCCTTTGTTTGTTTCTACATGTGGTACAAGTTGAGCTGGCGTCCTTTGGGTTCATCCTTGGCCCTTGGATGAAAGGTACAGCCGTGCACAGTTCTCTGTCTCCCTCTACTGACTGGAGGCCATTGTTACACTTCACCTCTTGATCACCTTCATAGCTGCATTTTCGAGGGAGAAATTTAGGAGATGCCACGAGAAACATTAGCCCAACATACACAATGCCATTGCTAACCCAGAATCTCATTTTCTAGCAGGACTTGTGGCAAAACGTTTTCAACACCAGTTTCTTTCCAGCAAGAGGGTCAGTATGGCTGGGTCTGTACAGTTTCCACCTTCCAAGTCTCCTTTGCAGTCCACCTCATTTCATCATCTTTTCTCTCTCTCCTCCTCTCTGCCTCCCTTGATTCCTATTTCTCTGTCCACCTTCTCATCACTTCTCCATTCCTTATTCATTCCTGGAAGCTGGAAAGAAGAAGAAGCTCCACCACCCAAGTGTTTGCGCCTAAGGTAACCCTTCCCTTTAAAGTGGTGGTGTCTGCTCTAATTCCCTCCCCAGAGAGGGAGGCAGCAGGACGGTAGGTTTTCCTGCAAGAGGGGCTGGTGATCTGCATCTCCTGCTGAGGTAGGGGGAAGGAACCTAGTGGTCCTGCTGGGGAGGGGGAGAAGAGAAGGAGGATTGAAATGGAAACAACACAGGGTGACCTTAGAGAAGTGTTTGCTGTATCAATGCTTAAAGACAGGGGGTGTCAATTTCCCAGGAAACCAGGGGCCACTCTTTAATTTCTTAGGTCCTCAAGGGGTATTTCTAATCATGTTGTGATATCACCAGAAGTGGAAGGACCAAACTTCTTAATCCTGGAGGTGGGGAAGGGTGGTGTTTTCTCTCTTCTGTCCTCCAAGCTGGAAAAGAAATATCTCAAGGAGGTTGTTTCTTTCCTGAGGGAATAGGGTTTTTAAGGATGAAAGGGTTGCCTTAAGTCTCCACAAGGTTTAAACTTTGTTTATTTTATTTTGATTTGATTTACATGTCTGCCCAATTTTCAAGAACACCTCTGGGTGACTTCCATTTTGAAAAAACATGAAAACAAGGGATTACAGATAAAATGTAATAATATCATATGACTTGAACATAAACACGAACATGAAAACCGCAAGACAGCAATAATAACAAAAGCGACAGTAATAACAGCAGTAACAATAATGTACAACCAAGCCCAATCTACACGTCTCATTCAAGGTCTTTCATTCTATACAAGCTCATCCCACAGTTTGGCCCAATGCTTAGGGCAGTGTTGTCCAAACTTGGCCACTTTAAGATGAGTGGACTTAACACCAAGAATCCCCCAGCCGGCATGGCTGGCGGGGGAATTCTGGGAGTTGAAGTCCACTCATCTTAAAGTGGCCAGGTTTGGACAACATTGGCTTAGGGGAAGAGTCAGATTTTTAGGGCCTTGAAGGACAGAAGGGTCAGGTTTTATCCCCCAAATTCCTTCCAAATTCCTCTTACCCAAACTAAGTTTAAAAGTTGGCTTTGGCCATTCCAGGGGTACTCTTGGGGGCCATAAAAGGGATATTGGTTTGTAGACCAAGACAACAGGTTGTATTATCTCTCTGGAGAAGCTTGGATTGGCCACACCATAGCTTATCCTCCTGGCAGCCCTGCAATCATCTCCATGTATGATTGGATAGATATGCATGCATCATATCTACAATCCCCAATAGGGCCCTAAAGGTTGAAAAAATGCCCAGCCTGTCCTGTAAAAGGTGACATTAGAAATGCAAATCAGATATATCACATTCAGTTGAAAATGTTTGTTTCCAAAGTTTGCAACTAACAAGGTGACCTATTTCTCACTGACTGTGTGAGAATTCATTCTTACAATGATAGACACGAAGTCACACCCTTGTGAATTCCCACATTGGGGCATTAACTTGGAATAGCTGATTGGCATCCCAGAATGGCATATGAAGATGCCTCCTCTAGGAGGAAATCTGGCTTGGTGTGAAGGTTAGAATGCTCTGGAGGACCGAGGTTCTGCAGAGGCAGCTCATGAAAATTTGCATTTTCTTAGACACATATTGCAATGAAGCAATGAGCCATATATCTGCTGCTGATTTGTTATCTAGGAAAAGAAATTGATTGATCTGATCTGTGAATTGGACCAGCCTTCCAAAGAGTGAGTTCTGCTGGTCCCCAGAACAGAAGCTCAAGCACATAAATTGGTATTAAAGCAGTATTTTCCCCATAATACCTTCACAAGTTTTGTTATGGGCACAATTTGGTATACTTCACCAACCATCCTGTTGGTGACAGGTGATCCCTAAGGGGTGTTATCCTAGTACACACTGAACACTTTAGGCTGCTGAGGGTACCTTCTCTCCCTGGGGACTGTCTTCCAGGACTATTTTGATTTGGGCAAGAGGCTTTCAAACTAGGATCCCCTCTTATACCTGATTCAGATCAGCCTGAATAACAGCAATCAATGGTGGTGTGGAAGTCACATGAAGAAATGGAAATGAGAGGCAGTTCTCTGTTGCTCCCTAGCATAGCTTTCCCAGCACTTATCAGCTGTTGTCCTTAGGACTTTTTCAAAACGTGCTTAGCACTCTTCCAGAACAGCAATGAACCTATGTTCAAAAGAAGCCTGGAGAACAGTTGACTGGTTTGGGGAAGGGTTGCCCAGTGAAGCCACAGAGAGACATCTTGTGCGCCCCCTCCCTGTGCAGAAGAGACCCATGTCCAAAAGGAGACAAAATGACAGCTGGGAGGCAAGATGAGATAGTACTACGAAGTGGCAGAGCTGGCTTGTACAAGCCTACATAACACATCTATTACTGTAATTTAGTCTGTTAGCTATTCAGCTGATTTAGGTCTCTGAGCTGAGGACTGGTTGTAAACTGTAACAAAGGCAATTAGGATTAACAATGGGAACAGCAAAATCTACTCTGTTTTGGTTTTCTGCTGGCTCACAGACAAGAGGAGAACCCTTTCATGGAGGTATTGGGAAGAGCTGTCAAGTAGGCAAGAAGAACAAGGGCAATGTGACATCTGACCTTCCTGTCCAATATGCCCACTTCCAGATCTGAACTACGCTGAACACTTTTAAACCAAGAGTTCCTCCAGCAAGCTTTGGTGATGATGGCTTGTTTCATGGAGGGTCAAGTAAATTGGCCATATGAATGATGGGATTGGAAATGGCTGTGAATTCTGGGATGTCCCCAGCTAGTCACTTGGTGAGGTGTCCCATAGGCGGTGCTGTCACAACATACATCAAGTCCTGTTGGCCTCAGCATGGCTTTCCCCTCTGCCCTCCCTCTTACTAACCTTTTCCCCCTCTCTTTCTTCCCTTTCCTTCCTGTCTTCTCTTCCCCCCTCTTCTTTCTTTTTATTCTTCTTCTTTGTTTTCCTTCTCATCTCTCTAGCCAGATCTTTAGTAGTAAAAGGAATTTCTTTCGGATTCACACCGGCTGGAAACAGAGGTACCAAGGCTTTCGATCTGCTGTCCAGGAGATGTTTTGGGACTTGTCTTGATTTTCATATTCTAATTGCATCATGGTTGTCCCATTTATTCAAACCCTCCCCCTTTTAATACCAGAGAAAGGGCATGTTGCAACAGTCATGTGCAGTGGAGAAGTGCATGGGGATGTCCCTCCTTCTCATTTGTTATGATGCCCTTCCATGGTGGGAGATACGTTTGCTCTCCTGTAACAGATGGTATGTCTCCAGTGCAGCTTTAGAGCAAGAGTCAAAAAAAGCACTTGGATTCAACGTGGGCTGTATTGGAGTGGTAGATAAGGAAACGAGGGACAAACATGGCTACTTACGCTTTTTGAATTCTTCCTTTCTTCTAAAATCTTCTGCTTCTTTTCTTCTCTTCACCTCAGCCCCGACCATCTAGGCCACATTGTGCTGACATTTGATGACCCCAAAAGAAAAGCTGGGTTAATTAAAAGAGATCAAAACACTTCAACATGCTATGCATTTCTTAGGATATTTAAAATGTAGGGCAGGAGAATTTGTCCATGTTTCAAAAGTAACCAACTTTGAGATGACTCGAAAATAGCATTCCCTGAGTCTTGGAGGGTGAGCCTAATGGAAAATGGTACCTGGTGGTTCAAGATAGAGCCTAATATGAAATGCAATTAATAATTTCTCAGGCTAAGGATAATGCTGTCGTGGGCCACCACCGTGACACTATCTCTTTGCAGTATTACACTATCTGCAAATATGTTCTCAACCTCAGTTCAGTCTATTTCGGGCGTCTCCTTGTTTCTCTCTGACTTTTCCTACCCGAAAACCTCAAATCAGAAAGATTGGTTTTCTCAGGTTCTACTTTCAGACAAAATTACAAAGCTGTGCTGGAGATTTACCTTCCTGTAGGTGCCTGATGACATTCTGGGTCTGGAATAACTCTTAGGGCCAGTGGTAGCCCCTTGGAAACATGGGATGCATGAAGGCAGGAATACTCCCTCACCCTTTCAGATGTAGTGATTCCATTAGCAGAGTAATACCACTTCTTGCAGATGTGAAGATTTCAATTTGACATGTGGGTACAACCCATGCACACCTGGCTGGATAACCTAGCAGTTCTGGAGGGACTCAGGGTTGTCAGGCTGAACAGTATTAGGTACTAAAAGAATCTCGGTCATGTACAGTTTCATGCCCTTATTCCTGTAAGCCTGTATCCATGACATTACGAGTTGGCGATCGTCATGGATGGAGTCTCACCCAAACAATGTTCAGCTGAAGAAGGAATCTGACCTTGTTGGGAATTCTACCCGAGCACCGGCCCTGAAGTTATTCCAGTTTTTGTAATCGAGCTGCATGGGGAAAGATTAAAGGAACAGGGGGAGCTCTGGAGATTGAAAACTGGCTGTTG